TAAACACACGGTCTTTAAAGCCTGAAATATTTATTATCAGGCCTTTTACAGAAAAAATTTTGCTAGCAAAACAATAATTCAAGTCCCGATTTGTATCATTTGCTGATTTTTGTGGTGTAAATAGTCCTACCACAGCCAATTTCAAGATACCGACTAGAACTGCATTATGACTTTCATGGGCTTCATGGGATAGATATTATATATTTATAAATAAAATATATATTAAATTAAATATAAATGATAGTCGACAACTGCATTGACACACAGATGAATATTTTAATATTACATATGAAAACATTTCTTCAACCCCACAGTTTTTTCCTTCTGACTTCAAAAGAAATTAATTTCTTTTAAACATTTTTATGGTCCTAAAAGTATGGTGGCCCTTGTGCACTGTGCCCACTGTGTTAATGGATATGTTGCTCTGCTACCAACCTAATACCATGGAACACATGGCTGGAAAGAGATGTGCAGGGGCACACCATTTCACGGTATGACTATTGTACACATAAAATAGATGTATGTAACTCAAGAGCATAGATACTAGTAAAATATGGCAAAATTATTAGGAAGTAGTATGTTTTAAATATCAAATGTTTTTATTTTAATATCATTTATTTAATTTTCAATTTCTATAATTTAATTTTCAATAATGCCTATGTTCAACAATCAGCTCACAAAAATTCCTGAAAATTTAACTATCGGCAGTATAATTCTGGTACACCATTACCTTCTAATATCCCTTCACCTCTCAAATAAACTACTTTTGCTCGAATCCTTGTCTCAGGGTGGGCTTCTGGGGATACCAAATTAATACAGAGGAAAGTAAACGTCCATCTTGTTGAGCCACTGTTATTTGGGTGGGGGAGGGGAATCTCCCTTACAGTTGGATCTATTCCCAACTGACAGAGTATGGCTTGAGATTCATCCATAATGCAAACACTCAACAAATACTTTTTTCAGTACATATTTAATAGGGGCACAATTGGGAACAATATAGACCCAGTACAAGCCTTCTTGGGAGGTGGACTATAACAAATAACCAAATTATACCTATATATATGTGTGGCCAGGGAAAACCTCTCTGAGGAGGTGACAGTCAGTTGAGCGGAGACCTAAACATGAGAAAGAGCTAACCACACAAAATTCCAGAAAGAGGATTCCAGACAGAAGAAACTGCAAGTACAAAGGCCCTGAGGTGAACATGAGCTCAGCGAATTCCAGGAAGGCCTTTGTGGCTGGAGCCAGGTGAGTGAAGGGGAAAATAATAGGAGATAAGGCCAGATCATGCAGGGCATTGCAGGCCAGGGTGAGGACTTAAGATTTTATGTGAATTGGAATAGGAAGCCCTTGAGAGTTTTAAATGGGAGAAACATCATCTGATTTTTTTTTTTTTTCGATTCTTGTTTTCAAAATTCTGCTTTAACTGTTAAGTGCAGACTAGAGATTCGAGGTGACAGGAGTAGCAGTAGGGAAAACGGATAGTAGGCTACCACAGAAGCCTACTAGGTGAGAGAGAGGAGGGTGACCCAGGCAAGGATGTCACAAACAAATCACACCTCCTTAAACTCATGCTTTTGTGTGATCCTCTGCTACTTTGACTCTGGACTGACCTTATGACTTATTTTGACCACTACAATATGGCAGAACTGATGCTACAGAAGTTCTGTAGCTTAGGCCTTAGGAAGAGCCTCACAGCTTTCACTCTCACCCTCATGAACCTGAGACCACAATGTGAAGAAGCCTAAGCTACCTACTTGGGGATAAGAGACCACGTGGATGGAGAGTCCCATCTGATAGCCAGCACCAACCACCCACACATATGAGGCCATCTTGTACCCTCCAGCCCCAGTTGAGCCGTCAGATGAGAGTATGTGAGAGATCCCAGGTGATATCATCAGAATTGCCCAGATTGCCAACCCACAGAATCAAGAGAAATAAAAAATCATTGTTTTGAGCTGCTAAATTTTAGGGTGGTGAGTTATGCAGCAATAAGTAAGTGAAGCCAGTGTGAGAAGGACATAGATTAATGCATACTACCCTTCTCCCTGGAGATAACTAAGGATCAGATTTGCTTCCTCTAAGCCCAGGCCCACCCTCCCATTCTCCTTAGAGAAGTATTTTTGCAGGTATCTGGAACCACAGGCCCTGATGATACTCTAAGAGCCTTTTGGTTTGGGTTTGGTTTTGTCTGGCACAGCAGAGGCAGGGATGAGACTCAATGGTTTTGAGTCAACTCTTAGCTCCCTTCTGATTCATTGGGTTACCTTGTCCAAGTTCCTCAACATCTCTTTATCTTAATGTCTCTATCATTCCAAAGATAAGAAAGCCTGTCCTACTGATGTCAAAATAATAATAATAATAATAGTAGTAAACATGTATATAGTATAGCACTTATCATGTGATAGACATTATTCTAAGGTTTTGACATATACTGAGTTATTCAGTCCACATAACCATCCTATTAGGTAAGGTCTTTTATGACACATGCTCTACAGATGAGGAAGTTGAGGTTTAGAGAGGTTAAGAAACTTGCCCATCTTCACACCCATTAGGATGGCTATTATTAAAAACAACAACAACAAAAATAACAGTGTTGGTGAGTATGTGGAGAAATTGGAACTCTTGTGCATTGCTGGTGGGAATGCAAAATAGCGTAGCCATTGTGGAAGATAGTATGACAGTTCCTCAAGAAATTAAACACAGAATTACCATATGATTCAGCAATTCCACTATTGAGTACATGCCCAAAGAACTGAAAGCAGGGGCTGGAACAGATATTTGTATACCCATTTTCATAGCAGCATTATTCACAATAGCCAAAAGGTAGAAACGACCTAAATGCCTTAAAAAGGAATGAAATCCTGATACATGCTACAACATGGATGAAACCAGAAAATATTATGCTAAGTGAAATAAGCCAGACACGAAAGGACAAATATTGAATCATTCCATTTATATGAGGTATTTAGAATTAGGCAGCTTCATAGGCAGAAAGTAGAATAGTGGTTACCAGAGCCAGGGGGCAAGAGTTAGTGTTTAATGAGTACAGAGTACAGAGTTCAGAGTTCTGGTTTAGGATGATGAAAAGTTCTGGAGATGGATGGTGGTGATGATTGCATAATATTGTGAATATACTTGATACTACTGAATTGTATATTTAAAAGCAATTAAAATGGTAAATTTTATATGATGTGTATTTTACCACAATAAAAACTTTTTTTTTTTTTTTTTTAAGAAAAAAAAGAAATTTACTCACCTGATGGAGCTAGTGAGAGGTAGGGATGGGATCTGCTCAGGCAGGCTAGCTCCAGGATGCCGGTGTATGTTACTGAAGGAAATTGGGATATGAAAGCCCTTTGGGAAAAATAGAAAGTATTAGGAGGAGAAGAACGGAAATACTGAGGAATAATATGACAGTTATGGACCTTTGTCCCTCATCAGTCATCCCTCTTCAGGCATACAGAAATTATGGGACATACTCAGGATTCAAGCTCCAAGAGAACTGGGTGCAAGTTTGGAATCTATGGCTTACTAGCTATGAGACTCCAGGCAAGTCTGTTCTAGTCTCTCAAGCTTTCTATCCCTGTGGGGATAACATCTGTTCTGCTACTCTTCAGGATGGTTACACAGATCACAAGAGTTAATGAGTGTGTGTTTCAATTATCTATTGCTACATGAGAAACCACTCCAAAATCTAGAATTAGACTCAGCTGGACAGTTTTTCTGTTCCACATGGTGTTGGATGAGGTTATGCATGTGGCTGCATTCAGCTGCCAGTTCAGCTAGGGTTCGAATGTCCAAAATGACCTCATTCATAATTCTAGTGCTCAGCTGGAGTTTCTAAAATGTCTTGAGGAGTTGGCTGGGCCTCCCTTCCTCTCCATGTGGCTCTCCAGCAGGGTAGCGAGACTTCTTTAGACCCAAGATGGTGGAAGCTGCCAAGCCTCTTAAAGCTAAGACCCAGAACTGGCAAAGTCATTTGTACCACATTGTATTGGTCAAAGCAAGTGACATAACCAGCCAGATTCAAAGAGAAGAGAAAAAGAATCTACCTCTTGATGGGAGAAACAGCATGCTCATGCAAAGATGGGAGGACTTGTTGGCAATCATCTTTGGGGACAATCCACTACAGTGGTGCTCATAGGTGGGGGTTAGAGTTCAACTGCCCCCTGCCAAAAGGCAATATTAGATAAGAGAGTTTTATGAATGGTTTAAACATAATGCTAAATGCTGCACCACACGGCAAATGGTCAGTAAGGGTTTATTACTATTATCAATCATTATTATCTTTTAACAACTTTCTGAAACAGTCACTGACAGCACTGGTACCGTATCCACTTTACAGTATTACATGGACCAAATGAATTTTCAGTTTTCTCCCAATTTTAACTCCATGACTCTTCAAGTCTCCTTTTCCAGATAGTGGAAACTGACGCTTAGGAAGGTTGAGTGACTTGCCTCGAGTCACATACTGATCTAACTAGCACATTGTGAAGTCCACATTCAAAGATGTCTTTCTCTACTAAATTTGCTGTTTTCATTCCTTCATTTAATGGTGTTTGTATCAAGCACTTGCCATATGCCCGAAAGTATACATAAGAATATAATGACAGTTATTTATTGGATACATGCTGTGTAACATTATGTCACTGGATCCTCATCATAAAACTAGAATGAAGGTATTATAATAATTTCCTCCCCATTTTACAGATGAGAATGAAGCAGAACGAGGTTAAATAAAAGACAGGATCCCACTCTCAGGGATTACACTCTATTTGAGAGGATATAGTATAGTCAAGCAAGTAATTCAATATATAATTACAAATTATTCTCTGAGTTGAGCTGTTATTGGAGCCCTGGTACCCATCCCACTCACCCAAATCAAGACCTCAGGTAACCCTGGCAACGAGTCTTCCTGCCAATAGTAAAGATGGCGCCCAAAGAACAACAGCGTTTACGCACGCTCCCATTACCCACAATGCCGTGAGGGAAGGGGAGGAGCAGTCTCTGCCAGGAGCTAATATGGCTCCTATAGTTACACCATCCTCTCTCTTCCTCTAATCAGCGACTTGACTGCCCAGACCAGGCTACCGATCAGGAGCTAAGTCTCCTTTGCCGCTCCTGACCGCAGCTACAGGAGAGACAGAAATAGGGTGCACCTCGCGGAGTTGATCTCCGTAACCAGGGAAACACCACTTCCGCTGACGTCATTACGGCGACACGTGGATCCAAGATGGCGGCGGCGATGGTGAGTGAAGGAGACTCCGGGAGCCGGAGCCGGAGCTGGGTTCTCCAGGGGATCCCAGGACCTTCCGGCGCCCCATGCATGGCCTCAGCCACCTCCGGATCCCCTAGCTCAGGCCTGAGGGACATCCCTGTTTGGGCTTGTCTTACCTAAACTCCCCCCTTCCCCGGCCTTGGCCCCGCACTAAGGCTTGTCAAGGCCCAGAGTTTTGGGGGAGGCACTGGTTCGGAGGAATGGTCTTGGCTACAGCTTCTGCCGGTTTCTGTTACTGCTTTGGTCTCCGCCTCTTGTGACCCCTCTCCCCCATTTTCCACTACCCAGCCTTGATTTCTCCGAAGAGCACCCCCATTAGTCTCACCCTCGCTCCTCCCCCTCGCGTCCAGACCTTGCTCTCTCCGCCTCCTGTGCTGACCAGTCCGCAAATACGACCTCACCTCTGACCAGCCTCCCAGCCCAAGCCCTGTTTCGGATCTTTTCTAGAGCCCCGTCCTTACCTCAACCCTCACCTGTTCCTACCGCGCACCCGTCTTGACTGCAGCTACCATGGAGCACGTCCTTACCCCTCTTCCCCCATCTTTCATCCCCAGACACTTCCCTAACCATTTTTTCCTGTCTCCTCAATCAACTTCCTGCCTCTCCTGGGGAGCTTTTATCCCATTGGTTCTCAAACTTTACTGTGCATAAGACTCGGGAGATATGGGGAGGCATGTTAAAAATGCAATTTCCTGAGCCCCTCCAAAGATTCTAATTCCGTAGGGCTAGGTGATGCCCAGGAACCCACACTTTTATAAGCACTCCAGTGATTATGATATAGATGGCCTGTATTACGTTTTAAAAAACACCATAGTAGCCCCGCCTGGCTGCCTGCCCTTCCCATGCCCCTACAGGGCTACACAACTGTTAGGGATGAAGTTTTATTAGGACGGAGCTTGTTAGGTTGGATCGTGTGTGTGACTAAGGGTGCAGTGTGCCTGGAAAGTGGGTCGGAACTTGTTGGCTCCTGGTACAGAACCCTGGAAGTAGATCTCTGAAGGACTGGCCTTTCTTCCAGAAGCTCAGCTCACATTCTGCTTGTCTAGAGATCAGAACCCAAATTGAAGACATTTAGTCCAGAGTGATTTTCTAGGTCTTCCTGCACGTTGCTTCCTTAGTAGATAATCCTAGAAGTGAAGGCAAAGGAAGACAGAGAAAAGGAAGTGACATTTGACTTTAACAAAGGAAGATTCTTGCTTAAATTTTTTGGTGGTGGTTTTTTCCAAACAAGGGTAGGTTATTGGCTGACAATGAGTTTCCCTTCTTCTCTTAACCAACTGGTAACTTAAACTTTTTGTTTAATGAGGGATTCCTTATGTACAGCCTCAGAGGTTAGGTAAAAGATTTCACAGCCTTGCTTGGTTTCTGTGGTGTCAGACTTCAGTCTGCTCCATGAGTGGGTAAAATCCCAAAAGTGGCATGTTGAAACCCATTTTTTTTTCTGGAGCACATTCAGAACAAGATGGTGTAAAAACTTAACAGGAAGAGTCACACTCTCTTTTGCCATAGGGAAAACGTTCAATAAAGTGGCACTTACAGCATTGCACTAGGTTTTTAAGAGGCAGTAAGTTAGCAATACATAATTTTGGTATCCATTTATATCATCAACAAATATTTGTGTTTCTGCTCTGTGCTAAGACCTAGGGATATAGTTGTGAATTAGAGGGTCAAGGTCCCTAACATTGTGGAGCTTTTTCTAGTCTGCAGAGAGAATAAGTAAACAAGTACATGAACAAGATACTGTCAGGTAGTGGTAAGTGCTGTGAATACAGTAACCAATTTCAAGAAACTGAGGATATAATGTATACAGTGATCCACCAGAAGCCAGTTTAAAGGGTACACACAAGAAACTTCATGTTCAATGCAATAATGAAAAGATGTAGAATCAAGTTTATAATGGGGATATGTGTAACAGGCAAAGTGGGGTTACAGATAGACTTGAGTTTGGTCTCTGTCAAGCCCTTGATTACACGGAAGTCAGAACAGTCTCCACACCCTCCTACACACAGGCTATTTCATAACCAGAGGTGGAAACATGGGGATCTGCTTGGGGGTGTATGGGTTTCTAAGGCAAGTCATACATCTAAAGAGGAACTGAACTAGTGGACTCAGTGACCGTGGGAACAGGCTGGATTTTCAGTTCTTTTGTTTTGAAAGTTAGGGTTGTGGGTGCAAGTTTCAAGAGGTGATATTTATGGGCTTTTCTCTCTCCTCCCTTTCTTTAGTGAATGGTTCTTCCCCAAAGGTCAGGTCTGTGTTAGCACAGCAGGTCTTTCTTGAACCTGCAGGACCAGACTTCTCCAATCATAGGAGTATGGCTGGTGTAAACTGAAGTTCTCACTGGTTTTCCTGCCTGCCTTCTGCCCTGGGTTTAGATGACTTTATAAAGTTACAGGATATACCGAGTTGATCTAGCTGGGTCTGAGGTGAGAGGCAGGCTCATATATCACTTTATGAAAATATTGAGCATGTGGAATATGGTTTGGGGAATATTGTGGTGGAACTTGGGAAATGTGTATTGCGTACATTTGTAGGCATCTCGGGAATCTAGAAACCTCCATTTGGAGAATAAAATTTTGTGTACTTCTCTCTCATATATCATCGTTCATAATGTTTTGGATTTTAATGTTTTTCCTTATTGGTATAGTTCATATACCATAAAATTCACCCTTTTAAAGTATACAGTTCGGTGGGTTTTTAGTATAGTCACAAAGTTGTGCAACCTTCACCACTGTCTTACTTCCAGACCATTTTCATCACCCCAAAAAGAAACTCATTGGCAGTCACTTCGCACCCCTTCCACCTCCAGTTCACCGCAACCACTGATTTACTTTCTGTCTGTAGATTGGCTTATTCCGGACATTTCATAGAAGTGAAATCATATAATACATGGTATTTTGTATCTGGCTTTTTTTTTTTTTTTTTTAGCATAGCATAATGTTTTCAAAGGTAATCCATGTTGGCAGCATGTGTCAGTATTTGACATTTATGTCAAATAATATTCCATTGTATAGATAAACCATATTTTGTTTATCCTTTTATCCATTGATAGGCATCAGGATTGTTTCCACTTTTTGACTATTATGGATAACATCGCTGTGAACATTCATGTGCAAGTTTTTGTGTGAATGTGTTTTCAGTTTTCTTGGATATTTTCCTAGGAGTGAAATTGCTGGGTCAGTTCACACTGTTTTGAGCTTCCTTGGGTTTGATCCAGTCCAGAGGCAGGAGAATGGACTAAATGACCTCAGAGTTCCTTTGAGCAGATGGAAGCAGCCCTAGCCAGTCCCCTATCTCAGTCAGAGGCATGGGGACTGTTTAGTGGTGGAATCTGGATGGTGGAGTCCTAGAACAGGAGGCAGGAGGCCTGCCTGAACTCTGCCACCAGTCTTGTGTACGGGAAGTTGCTCTCTCCCCTGGGCCTGACATGTGGGTAGGCATCAGCCCATTGAGGAAGGAGCACTGGGGCAGGAGTCAGCAAGCAGCCTGTGCTTAGTCCCAGCACTGCCACTGATTCACGGTGGCCTAGGGCAAATTATTTTGGCTTTATTGTTCTGTTTCCACATGTCTTATGTGATATTATGGTTTGGACTTGATGATTTCTAAATACCAGGTTGAAAATTCTGTGATTTAGAATATTTGCCCTTAAGGTGATTTTTGCTAATATGTGTGTAAAATCAAATTGATTTTGTTTTTTTCCATAAACATAGCCCCTGTGGTCTTTTCAAGCTTTTGTCCGTTGTGTTGACTGATCTCTTTAGTTGCCCCACCCGTCATGTATTCTGCAGGAGCCACTATGTCCTTGGTGCTGAGGTGCCAACACCAGGCCTTGGTTCTGATGTGTTTCTCTAAGGAATCCCTTTTTCAAAAGTGCCCTTAATCCCCTCAGGAAGTACAGGGGAGGCAGAGACAGGCATTAAGTTGCCTCTTGGTTTCTCTTTTACAACGTGGACAAAAGTTCCCCTTTGATCTCGGCATTAAAGAAGCAGGTTGCAAAATGCTGGAGAACGTTGAGTTTTGATCTCTGGGCACTGGCAGGAAGGTGGGAAGGACCCAGGATGAGTAAGGCCATCTGGCCACAGACAAATTATAGGGGCTACCTACCACCCCCAATCCGTCTTTGATCCCTGAACCATTTGCTGACACTAGTGTTTCCCAAATGGGGCATGGTTGGGGACACCCAGGATTTCTCAGTTCTGTCTCATTCCTCTTCATTGTTTCCTTCTTTTCCTTCCTACCATGATTTCCCACCTTTGCATGAGCATTAAACTGACAGACCTCCCAGGGTTTGAAATTCCGAAGTTTTGTATTCAGAAGGTATGCTAAGTGCTAGTAGCAGTTCTTCAAAACTTTAGAAGGGCCTCTGAGTGTCCTTAACATCTTGGGGCCGGTTTCTACGGGACATAGTCCAGACTCTAAATTGGCAATCCATGGACCACATCTTCACATGGACTTGATTAGGGGGTGAGGTAGACTGGCACAAGACTTCAGAATTTTTGAGTTAATTGTCAGTGTTTAATGATTAGGAGTGTTCACAATTCTAGATTTTCATTTTCTCTTGAAAATTTGGGCTCAAATTTCCCATCAGAAGCATTCTCTATGCAGGGCCCAGTTTGTCATTTTCAATTCCCTTTCTTACTCCTGAGCAGCTTCATCATTTAGGTCACTTGCATGACCTGTCTAGGTAGTTGAATTTGCAACCCCAGAATGAGATGGTCTCGATATAAAGTTTTTCCTACTCTGACATTCTGATTCAGTAGTACTCCCCTGTACTAAAGTAGTACCTGACTTTAAAGGAAAACTTTCTATTCATATAATACATTTCAGTTGATAAACCATATGTTTATCCATTATTTCTTCTAAATCTTACAAAAGCCCATTTACAGGTTAAAAAAAGGCATGGTCTAAGGACCTGGGCTAGATTCTGATTTTATGACTTTCTGCAAATTTGCTTCTTTAAACCCCAGTTA